AATTATTATTGTACACAACGGGGACGATCGCCCCATTTGTCCCCGTGGAGTTGGCGCCTATGCTAATATATATATATATATATATGCTGGTTCCAATAATATACAACCAATTAGAAATCAAAATACTACAATTTGTTGATAATTTAAAATAAGCGGTTTGTTTATTTTTCTTTTCAGTTTAATGGAGAAAATAAATATTATATTTTTTAAATTGTATTTGAACGAAGACTGAATTCATTTTTCATATACATGTACTTTTTTCACAAAAGGATTAAGTTCGATTTACTTTTGTCCAAAGAATTAGCTAAAATGCAAAATAATCAATGTATCTTGAGTCGGAGAATTAAAGAGATGAATGGTAAAATATTATGATTATTCTATAATATGATTGATTCAAATTGTATTTATTTATAAAATTTCGCTGATGTACAGATTTGAACATAAAACATATATCAAATATAAATGTCAAGTACAAATATTTATCTAATGAGCAAAAAGTTTTTATACAAAATGTGACGAATGCCGCAATTTGTAATTTAATTTACTTTTTTTTATAAAATCTATTGCCATATATTATATATATGCAATTTAACTTTCAGCTAATCCGCAAGTTATTTACAAGGTATTGAATAAAAAGATGGCCATAATTCAAAATACTGTAGACATGTTAATATCCGAAAAAAAATTATTAGTTCATTCAAATAAAAATATGATAAAAGAAATTAATACTTTGAAATCAACATTATCCACAGTTGAACGTAAATATATCTTCATTTAAATATATTTGGATGTCTTAATTTTATCATTTAATTCAAACTAATTAAAAAAAAAATCACCGATTTCTAGGTAAAATATGTAAATATCGGGTACAGAAACGTGATTTAAATGCAATAAAGATCAATATTAGAAATTTAAAAAACCGAACGAAGAAAGATGTGAATAGTTTAAGAAGTCGTCTACAAAATATAAAAGGTAATATCTCATTAGTATAAATCTTTTCTTTACCGAAAATTATAATAAACATTAAACCTGTATACAGTGTGTTTAGAAAGTAACAACAAAGAAACCAATAAAAACCAAAATAATAGAAGTTACAACAGAAAACTCGTTCGTCAATACGATAAATTAAAAATGGAACTATACATGATTGAAAGTAGGACTATACATAATTTAAATAGGATAAATAATACCTATGTGTGTTAAACTTTAATTTTGAATTATTTTAAAACTAAAATTTGAAATTTTTAGGAGAAGTAACAAAATATTCAGTAAAAACTATTCAGAACATCATGCTTATGTCAACTAAGTACATAAGAGAAGGAGTTAATGTGCCAATGCCCGACGATTATTATTTGGGAAACTGTTCACAAGCATATTATTCATCTGATTTATTGCTACAAGGCGCACATCAAGCAGCTCCACCATCAACATCGAAAGCACCTCTAACGCCTTCGAACGGACCACCAGCTGCTTCAGAAACACAATACCCAAGATATTTGATAAATTCTGATTTATTGCAAGACATGTCTAAGAAGTTAAGGAAAGCTGGTGTTGATAAAGTTAGGAAAATACCAATGCGTGAAGATATGAAAATCCCCAAAAAAATTAAAAAAGTATTGATCAAATAGCCGACCCTATGCCACCATCAGCGATTTTAGTGTCTCCAAAATCAACTGAAGAGCTTCTGTCAGTAGAGTCTCTGGTGCCATCAATAGAACCTTCAGTACCTCCAGCACCACTCATAGTCCTACCACTAACAAGATCTTCGATGAAATAAAATTAACTATAGGGTCTTAATTATTTTTAACTATTTTTAACACAATCGCTTTTAGATTATAATATCAGGACAGGATTATGGTCATAATTTAAGGGAGACTATTACTTTTATTGAGGCTTTTTCACCTAAAACAATTTCCTTTAATATACAGACAAAACAAAATACGTTCCCTGTTGATTCAGAGTATATCAACCATAATCGTTCGTGTTTATTTCCATTTACCAAATTTCATATAAAAAAATTACAAGAAAAATACTTTTTTTGGTTTTTATAATCTCATAAAGAAGCTAAAAACCCGTTGTTTTTATTTTGGAAATATGCCGGTCCCAATTTTATACATTTTTCTTGGAAGGTTTCACTCATTGCCAGCCACAAAGCAAGTTCTTTATTTATTTCCAACTCCATCAATATTTTCTATTTATATGATATTAAATAGTATTAATATTTAAAATAAATATTTTAATTTAATTATGTTAAATTTACATTATCAGTATTTGTATCAATTTTGCAGACGGTTTCACTCATTTTAGGATTTTCAATTGGTTGAAAGAAATTTGACAATTTAGGAATTTTGGCTTCGTACTCATTTATAATTTTCAGGGCTCTTCGTTTTGAAGCACCAAATTCATATTTTCGGAAAGACATGATTATTAAATCTTATTTAATAGCTAATAGATAAACTCAATCAATTTATGACGTTCTAAAAGGAGCTTTACATTTTATATGATAATAAACAGTCGGAAATTTCAAGTGAGCGTCTGTGGTCTAAGCTAACATAATCAGTACTGTACCTATCTGCGAAAGTACGTGTTTGTCATTCATCGAACGTATAATGTACTAGGTTTGAAAATAGATTTAACCGATTATATTTATCGTGTCGACGGATTGGCCGGAAACCCGTTCGATAACGACGATAACGAGTTGCGAGAAGCGACAACCACTATAACTATAATTAGATCTTGTGTGTCAATAATGAAGTATTCAAGTCCATAGTCCATTTTCATATGACATAAATTTAAAATTTATGAGTTATAATAATGTTTTAAAAAAAATGAGTTGACACATTGTTGCCCCTTTCAACATGCGGCCCGGAGCTATAGCCCCCCCCCCCTAGTCCCCCCTTAATCAAGCGTTATATAATATTATGTTTTTATCCCCATTATATTAAATAAGAATCCATAGTTTGAAGTACTGTAGTTGTCACTACATCCAAATATAGCAATCGGTGCAACTGATAATTTTAAAAAACTATTGTAAGGTAACAGGAAAAAAAAAACGTAAAAAAAACCAAAAATGTGCAACACTCCCCCCTCCCCGTCTCGAAACGAAGTTATTTAATAAGCTCTACAACTAAACAACTATTATTTTTCTTGTTTTGTAAAAATACACGGTAGTGCTTTAAAAAAAAATATATTTAGTGGTCTAAAAATGGTCACCAATTGCTTTGACAATTGCTTTCCTGTTTAAATATAAGTCGAGTTGTACGTGTGATGTCATATAGAAAATAGACTGCTGTGACGAGAAAATATGAATATTAAATGAATACATTGATAACTGATGCTTGTAGTAAACATCATTTGTGGTTATATTAGGAAGTGAAATATTTTGACCAAAATCCATGTCAAATGCTACCATCTTCTTTGTTTATTTGGCTACTTGTCTTACTCTTTTCTTCCGTACGTAGAATGTTTCGGCTTTTCTTTTGTGTAGGTAACATATTTTCCGATGTTAGATTTTGAATTTCTTTGTCATCTGTGACCGGATATAATTTTTGAAGTTAAGTCAAAAACTCGTCACAAGTTATACACGTGTCTGTCTGTGGATATTCAAACGATTTATTAAACTCCGAATTTAAGATGCACCTGTAGGTTTCATAAACAACAACAACTGTTGAAAGTAGTTGCTTAAACATAGTAAACATTTCCTTAACATTCAAATCTTCTGGAAAATACATTTTTTTTTTTTGAATCTTTCAAACTATAGTGGCTTTAAATCTTATTAAATCTTTAAATATGATTGCATATCAAGCGTTTTGTAATTTCATTCAGTTTTTTGTAAAGTGTAGAATATTTGCCTCTCATATCTTGTGGTGCCTGACCAACAAGGCTGGGCTAGTTAATGATATTTTTTTAACTCAGTTCAGTTAATTGAGTTCATGTTCAATTAAATTGACAATTAAGTTAATGTACATGAGAATTACATAAATTAAGTTAAAAATTTAAGTTTAATGTAATATCCTTAACGATTAATGATAAGAATCTATTTATATACATAAAAATATGATCATGAAATAATTTTACTTATTAATCAAACAACGATCAACGCGACGCGTATCTATCATAGAACAATCTTTACAAAACGAATTACGAAGTAATCAGAACTCAGAATTCCGTACATACTAAATATTATTAAATTATTAAATTTTAATATTTATCAGTAAATAGTAAATACTAAATAGTATTTAATAATGTTTAATTATGACAAATGCGTTTGCATATGCGGTAAAAAAAGAAGTATTAATAATCCTACAAATTGGAGACGCCATATTTCGTCGTGTAAAATGAAACAAAACAAAATTAAAAATAAAGATATTTCAACAATAATGGAAAAGCTACATCAATATCAATAGGACTAAGAAATACTCAAACAAAAAAATTGCGGTAAGGTAAGTATATTATAATTATATTTATTTAAAAAAAAACTGCTGTAAATTTAGTGGCTGATATTAACTAATAACTAGATAAGTATCTATAAATAAATCTAGTTTAGCGCCCACGCAAATTTTTCAACTTTTTTTTCGGAAACTTGAGAAATCAATGTTTTTAAAATTATGGCGCTGACATAAATTATCAGAAATTAATAATTTTTAAGTTATTGCCTTACGTAATTCGCAACAATCGGTATTTTACGCATTTCTACAACGCTCTATTTTACCGTACGTTGGAAATTTTCTGTTTTACCGAACACCCCTTTTTTTTTTCTTTACAATTACAGTAGAGTCCCGTTAATCCGGTCATCGCTAATCCGGACAATTTATGTTTCGTATTTAGTACTCATGTATAATATATATATTCGGGAATACCCATAATTAAGATATGGTTTAAACTTATCGTTTCGATTAGGTACATATGTATTGTGATATTATTTCGTTTAGTGGTGATTGTGTACCAGTGTAGACCGTTCCGTTTATTTTTTCCTCTGCTTATTATAAAAACAACATAAAATGACAACTTCGGTTAAACGTAAGAAAGTGACTGTAACAATGGAACAAAAACTCCAAGCTTTATTTCGTATTGATGCTGGTGAATCATTAACAAAAATCGCGCAAGAGTTAGGAGTGGGTAAGCAAACCGTTTCGGATTGGAAAAAAAAACGAATAGAAATTGAAAATTTTTGTGCGAAAATGGTGAGCGCGGACAGCTTAGGTAACAGACGCACATTAAGAAAACCAAACAACGAAGCTTTAGACGAGGCTTTGTACATTTGGTTTTGTCAACAACGTGAACAAGGAGTTCCGTTGTCGGGTGTTACATTACAAGCTATCGCGATAAAATTTAATGAAAAATTAAAAGGAGATCCTACTTTTGCTGCTAGTGTAGGATGGTTGTCTCGGTGGAAATTGTAATACACAATATTACTTAATTTTTATACCGACATAATTTTCATTAATAGATTAAATCCATTATTTAGTTTCTTACATACATATAATTGCAGAATATATTTACTTAATTTTTTTAGAAAATGGCAGAAGTTTTAGATTTTAAAATTGTTGTTAAAAGATTAAATGAAAGGCAAATCTACCGTGCTAATCTACCAATATCTATGGAAAAACCAGAAGATTATTTCAGAATTACAATTTGCATTCCTTATATTGATCATTTATAAACCAACTAGAAATTTGATTCCTAGAGCACCATAATATTTTTAAAGGTTTCTAATAATTTTTA